CGGCGGCTGGCGACCAAACCGGAGGCCGCGAGGCTCGCTAAAACCGTCACTTCCACCGTTCCAAGGGACGTCTTAAGCAACAGCGCTCCGACACGATAGCTTTAAATTGTTTGTTTAAAATTTTGATCAGGCTTCTCTGCGGGCTGCTGAGCGCTGAGGCCCCTCCAGAGGGGAAGGCGCGCGGGGGCTGCCGGGAGTTGTAGTTCCGGACAGGAGATCGGCTGTACGCGGCCCCGGCCGCCATTTTGAGGGCGCCCTGAGGGGGCCCGTGGTGGGCAGCGGGGTCAGACTCCACCCCCGTGTGTGTGAGGGGCCATTAAGATGGTTCGGTGCATATTTATGTCCACTGTGCGAGGGGGAGCCGAGCACAGCCAGAGGCCAGCGCTGCTGGGAGATGCTCAGGGAATACAGGGGAGCCTGAGGGCGATGTGGGACAGAAGGGAGGAGCCTTCCCTAGCACTGGCACGTTTGGGTGAACTGGTAGAAAAACACAACAGTTATTATCAAAAACAACAGGCATTTTGCTGGTAACCAAGCCTAATTCTGGCCATCTGCAGTGTCGCATGAGGTGGGCTTTACACCGAGCCAGGAACACCATCCTTGCGGCTCACACAGAGCTGGGGGTTTGGTTCCCAAGGACAGGAGACGCGGTGGGAGCAGCGAGGCACGACACAGCAGGGACACAGCAGGGACACAGAGCTCTCCCCGCCACAGCAGCGACACAGAGCTCTCCCCGCCCGCGGGGAGCCCGGGAAGGCACAGGTGGATTAGTCACGGGGATGCCACGCTGGAAACGTGCACATGTCAGGACTCTGAACGAGGAAGGACAGCTCTGCCTGCTGGGCACGGGTGACTCACGGCAACCCGGGCGGGATCAGGGCCCTCCCAGGTCACAGAGAGCCCTGTTTTCCCCAGAGCAGCTCCAGCCCCATCACCCAGCCCTTAGAGCCTTCCCGGGTGCCTGCAGGGCTCAGCGAGGGGCCGCTGAGCTGCGGGATGTCGTGACTGGACTCAGCCAGCACTGGAAACCTCTGGAGAGTCTTTGTTCTTTTCCTGATTTTTCACCCTGTAACTCTGTGCTTTTGTTAACACCCGGCATCCCTTGCCCTTCCAAGAGCTCCACATGCCACAGACAGCAGACAGGCCTGCATTGCAATGCATGGAGGAGAAGGGATGAGGGAGTAGCTCCAGCTTTGTACCCCATCCCCGCATAGGCTGGGGTTTTAATCCCCCTCCCACAGACCATCAGCATCCAGTCCAACCCCCTTGCCAAGGCAGGGTCACCTGGAGCAGATGACAAAGGGACACATCCAGGTGGGTTTGGAATGTCTCCAGAGAGGGAGACTCCACAACCTCCCTGGCAGCCTGTTCCAGTGCTCTGCCACCCTCCATGGAAAGAAGGTCTTCCTCATGTTGAGGTGGAACTTCTTGTGTTTTAGTTTATGGCGGTTGCTCCTTGTACTGTCACTGGACACCACTGAAAAGTCCAGCATCAACCTCTTGACACCAGCTCTGAGCTGCTGGGAAGGGCTGGGACTCCACGGGGAATTCCTCTGCGAGTCACTGGTAAGTTTCAAAGAAACCCATGGGATTTAACACCAGCATCTCACAGAGGAAAACAGGCTCACTGAGCCACAGAAGGGGTTATTCCAAGATGAAGGCAGCCAGGAGGGTGGCTGTGGCAGTGCCTGCTCCATGTCCCCAGAGCGAGTGCCCGCTGGCAGCTCTCCCAGTGGGTCAGTGGGGAGCCTGGCTCCTCCACTACCTGGCTGGGTCCTGTTGCTCCAGGAGCGGGCCCAGACAGTTATGGGAGTGAGGTAAGTCCTGAAAAATGCTGAGAACCCACTTCACGTCACCAGCAAGGCATGAGACAGCACCTTTGCCATGAGGGTTTTTCCAGCCTTTTGTGGTGCCAGAGCTAAGACATGGCACGGCATGGATCCGAGGCTGTGTGTGGGGTCTCTGGGGGAGGGTTATGAGCAGAGGCACGCTGGGGAGGGCCCAGCTGTTCCCCCAGGGACCCAGAGCAGGGCCATGAAAATCCTCTGTGCCCAGGGACACGCCTACATGCCGGCCACAGGGAGCTGCCTCAGCAGTGGGAAATTCCCCAAGCTGTGGGAGCAGCAGTGCATGTCCCACCTGCAGCTGCTGTAACCACACCAGGGAGTGCCACAGCTCTCCCTGTGGGGCCGGAGGGGGCAAGGTGATTTGAGCTCCAGCTGCAGGTGCCTCCCTCTGCCTCCTGCCTGGACATGACCCCAGGGACCTGTGTAGAACTTGTCTCGGTTGTGGATGCTGCCAGAGTTATGGCACCTTCCCTTGTGAGGGAGAGCAGTGTCGGCATAGGGAGGTGCCAGGTGAGGGGCACACCTGTCCTGCCTCCAGCTGGAGGACTCACCCATGGGCACCTCACCCAGCAGGCACAGAGCATTTCCCCATCCTACAAACTGTGTGTGTTGGGGATGGCCAGGACCAGAGCAGTAGAGAAATCTGTCCATGAAGCACTGGAAATTCAAACAACTGCTTAGCTGTCTGCTGGGAGGGATGGTAAGCATTTATTAACCCACTGCCAAGACCTTCCAGCCAGAGCACTTCCGTCAGCACTGCCATGGCGTGCGGCTGGGACCGTGTCCATTGTCAGCCTCTGCTGTGCTCTCGGGACTGTAATTCCTCCAGCCTCATCTCCAGGAGCTTGTCCCCAAGAGCAGAGGAGAAGGCTGTGAAGCCACACTTGCTCAGCCCATGTGGCTGCTCTCCCTGGCACAGCTCCCGCACGCTACGATCCCGTTACCAGCGGGAGATTGATCACACACAGCTCAGAGTAAAGGCAGCTGAAGAGCTGTCACAGAGCACAGACCATTTCAGGGGAACCACGGCAGTGACTGGTCAGGATCCTGGAGGAAAAACCCCCTCAAGTCAGTCCCCACCAGGCATGAACCAAAAGAGCCTGGGTCAGCCAGAAGGGGTTTCAGTGCATCACCTGTGACACACCCACATACCAGTGCTTGCTGAGCTTGTTTCTCAGCCGCTGATAAGATGAGCAGTATAATGGTAAAAACAATTGCAGATCACCCAATCTCCCAACTAGAGCCCATAATTAACCCAAAACCCAATGGACTGTGGGGTTACCCGGGAGCAAGTATTTGGACGGGATTCTCAAAGTTGCTGCATATTTGCAGCAAGGTTTTTTGGCTTGCTCTTGGCCAAATTCCTCACGGAAAACCCCAGGGTGAGGCGAGCTGGTGGAATTCCCACAAACAGTTGGCCCTTCTAGGGCTGAATTTGAGCCACCACTCACCCTGCATCCACTGGGTGGGGAACACCCCTCTGCTGACGGGGAATAAAAGCCGGGTTGTGGTGCTTGGCACCCTGGGTAGGGAGAGCTGGAGGTGGCCACCCAAGGGGCACCTTCTGAGCGGGAGGAGAGAGAAGGTGCTGCAGTTTTACCTGTGCAGTGATGGGGCAGTGCTTGTCCACTGCACTCAAACAGGCCCTGTGTGTCCTGCTGGCTGTGGAGTATCTCCTAGAGATTTGGGAACTGAGGCCGTGGAGCAGTGTTTGACTTCTGGAGAGATACTTGATGCTGGGGTACACACTGGGCTTCTCCTTCTAGCACTTTCCAGCACTTGTTTGCTGCAGTGGCTAAGACTTCTCTCCCATTCATCCCTATCTGCTCTTTACAAAGGCTTCTTGTTTTACCAAGTGTTGGGTTTTTGTTTAGTTTTTTTTTTCCACGTGATTTAATTCACACAAACTCCTTCCTATTCTGACTATTGATCTTGGCTCCTTACTGGTTAAAACAAAGTAAATCTTTCATAAGCAGGTTCTGACAACGCAACTTTTGTTCCTTCCAGACACAATTTCCTGTTTAATTTCCTGACTGTTTCTTACTTGGTAAAGGAAAAGTTGTAAATTGCAAGATTGCTTCAGAGACCTTCCTCTGACTTTAGGTGAACCGTTAACCACTTGCAGGAGAGAATCCAGCAAACCAGCATAAAACTTTAAAAAATCCTCGATTTCTTTTATTTCTTCTGTGATTCTCACTGAAAGGAAACAAGCTGGGGGGGGGGGGCGGCAGAGGCGGGGAAAGAAGTTGGAATAATTTTCCTTGGAAAATCAAACAGGAGCAACTCTGCCTCCAGCTGAGTTGATAATTGCTCTTTCGTCACTCAGCAAACTGTCTCTGATACATGGGCTGTGCCTCTGCGGTCCCAAACGTGGGTCCCGGACATCCCCCTGCATGGACGCTGATTCTCGCTCCCACTCCTTTAAAATCCCGAGGGACGCCATGCCGGGCTGTGACCGCGGTCACAGTGACCAGCTGATCCAGCTGCAGATTCCCGGATCACCGAAGTCCTGGCTGTGCACGGAGCCTCGTTAGGGTTAATTAACGTGGGCTGGCGCCGAGGAGCGTCTGGCAGGGAGGGACAGCGGGACACGGTGACATCCAGCAGGGGCCGTGTGACCTGGTGCAGGAGAGCGACTGCTCAGATCTCCTGCCAGCCCCAGTCCTGCCTGGAAGAGCCTTGAAATCTGGCACAGGTGGCACAGTGCCACAGCTCCAAAAAGCACGGATGGAGCCACAGCCAGGACCACCTAGGACAGCCCCTGGCGTGGCTCGTGGAGGGCAAAGCCAGGTCCAGGTCTCCTCCACCTGGCTCAAACACTGAAAGTCCAAACTTTAAGTAAGATGAAGAAAATGAATTGAGATGGGAATGCCACTTTTGAAAACATTTGTATTTGATTTGCTCATTTCATGTGGCTTCATTCAAATTTCGACTTTGCCTAGAAACAGGAGATTAAGTGATTGCTCCAGCAGGGATGCCCAGGCAGGGTACAGCGGGAAGCCTCAGCATCTCCCGGCCCTGTTTCAGAACCACGAAGCCTCTGCATGGCAGAAAACACCATTTCCTACAGCCAGTGCTTGGGAATGGATAGAAAATGGCTTCAAGAAGGGACCCACCTTCTCCTAGCCCGGCTGGCAGGTGTTCTGGGTACAACCTTCAGCAGCATCTCGGCTCAGTGCTGTGACACCAGTGCAGAGGCCACTGCCTGCTGGAGAAGACAAACGTGGTCAGCAGCTGAGGAGCTTCTCTCGCCATCTGACAGGGCTGGCGGAACAGGGAAAGTCCAAACGCTCCCGGCAGCGTCAAAATTAACTCTTGATCACATGATGGAAATGTGGTGTGGGACAAGGGGCTTCCAGTGGGGTGAACAGAGGTGGTGGGTGCCTTGGTCCCCCCAGGTTCTTCCCGACAGCTGCTGTCTGAGCCCCCCTGGGAAAAGAAAAAGCAAATTTCACTGCAGAAACTGAGAAACGGTAAAACTTCATGATGGAGGTGTAAAGCTTTTTTTGGCTCTCGTTTCTGGGAGGACAGTGTGGGCTGAAGCTTCCCCTGCCCTCTTCACCCTCTCACCCGAGGGCTGGGAAAGCACCCGGTGCAACCTAGTGCTGGGTTCTCTCCATGGCCACATGCAAACCAAGGCCAAAGCAGGTGATCCCACAGGTCAGCAGTGCCAGGAATGTGCTGGGAGAGTAGCACAGCCTCTGCAGGAGCAGGAGCACCTCCACTAGATCCAAGTGGTGGGGATGAGAGATGAGAAGGCCAGCCAGGCATACACAGGGAATGCCACAGGCTCAGCTGTTTCCCTTCCCCTTTCTCCCAACTACTACAATAAACTGAATTCCCACCTGGCTCCATCCCCTCCCTGGCAGATATTTAAAAACAGGGAGACGAGTGCGAGGGTGGCTGGTAGCAGGAATGTCACTCCTCAGGGACCCCTGTGTTCCCAAGGGAACATGCACGTCTTGCAGGGCTGGGCCCAGGGACCCTCCTTCCCTGTGTTCCAGAGTAGGACAAGCTCATGTTGCAGGAAGAAGTGCTCAGCCCCAACATCACACTGCTCTTCCCAAGCACATGGGCTCCTGCTTGGAGGCTCATGGGGAGAGGGCAGGAAGGGCTCCTGGGGTGAATACCTCCTGTGAAATCACAGTGTTTCCAGGCTTAGGGTTAGGGTTTGAACAAAGGTTTCTCTACCAGGCAAATGGGAAGGTGAGCACAGAGAGGAGGATCCTCTCGCAGTGCACCAGCTAAAGCCGTGAGTTACAACCTCTTTTTGACCTGTGCACACCAAATTTTCCCCCAGCTACACTTCCTATAAAAGTGTTTCATCCCCCATCCCCCTCCTCATTTACAGAACAAAAATATTCCCTGGGCAGACAATAAAATCCCTGTTAAGAAATTCCAGGTCCCTTCACACCTCTTGCTCTGTGTCCCAGAGCTGCAAGGAGAAGGAAGTGGCTGCCATATGAAGTTCACACTGATGGAGAGATGGGGGACCTGGTGTGTGGCTCCAGACAGAACCACCCTGGTCACCAGCTCTCCCCAGTGGTACATTGCTTTTGCCCTCCAGCAAGTTGGATTTTTCAGTGTTTTGCCACTGTAAGACTCCTCACTCCTGAATCTTGGAAATTTTCACCTTTCAGCTTCCATGCCAACCCATGCTCGGATTCCACAGGCAGTGGTTTTGTTTGGTTTTCTCCCTGTGTCTTTGCCTTAGGGACATGCCACATACAGCTGAGGGTTGAGCTGAGCTTATCTGGGCAGCTGAAGGTTGGACTTGGCCCACCTTGGAGCACCCTGCAGCTGGCAGAGCACACTGCTGACATCCACTTTCCTAGGGTTGGGAAACTTTTTTTTTAAGCAGATTAGAAAACAAAAGCATCTTTACTACGTGATACCTTGGCCTTCATGGAGTTCCCCTACAGAACAGGCCCCTGCTGCCCCCTGCCCTGGAGCTGGGCAGGGCCATGGCTAGGCTGGCTTGTCCCTCTCCCCAGAGTGGGCAGTGAGGAGGGTGTTTTGCCATGAGGCTTCCCTGATCCATGCACACCGTCCAGAAATGCCAGGACTGAGGGAGCTCAGTTTCACAGCTGCCCCACGTGCTGACTTCCAGAGGTCACGCCCCTGCAAGCGTGTGCCTTTCCACATTGCACCTCTCCTACTCCAGGTGCTCAGCCGAGTTCCACAGCAGTCGTCACATCCTTCTCCCTCTGCTCAGTGAATCCTAAACCTTGCCCTGGCAGATGCCAGTCCAGCCTGGGCTCCTCAGACCCCATCCCAGTTTCCTGGACTGCTCTGCCCAGCCTTGAGCAGCATTACTGGGTTTCTCCAGCAGCCTTTGCACCTCCTCATCTCAGCTCGTTGTCTGGGAGGGTACAAGTTTCCCCCTTCTCTGGCTGCTCCTTCCCACTGTCTCCCTTCCTATTCTCCCTATTCTCCCTCGTAAGCTCCTAAGTCTTGCCCACCCTGTCCCCTGTGTCCCTCAGATGCTGCCACAAGGGAAAATGGCAACTCACCAGCATTTAGGTCCTCTCTGTCCTGAGTAGGGGCCATCCACCTGGGGATGCATCTATGGGGTCTGCAGCAAATTTCCAGCTTGCATCCTGGGGCAGGATCCTCTCCATAGGGCAGGTTGTGCCCTGGGACAGGGAGCTTGGATACTGATACCAGTGACATTCCTACCAGGAGCTTCTAGTGCTTCCATAATGTCCAGCCTTGAGATAAAAGACCCGTGTGGATCATGGCTGCACCACCAGCACTGCAGCACGTGGACAGACAGTGGGGCCTCCACTGAGCCTGTAGGGGACTCACCTGAGCTTGCAAGAAGGTTTCCTGGGCGGTGGAAGATGCTGTGGAGGACAGGAGGGCTCAGGGGGCTGGGTGGTGAGGCTGTGAGCAGGAGCTGTGCCGGAGGGGCCCAGGAGCATCCCTCGGTGTCACGGGCTGCCCACAGCAAGGACATCGCTGCACAGGGGATGCACCTCCTGGCTCACACACTGCTGGTGGCCCAGGATTCCCTGGGACCAGAACACAGACCTGATCCAGGGAATCTGACCTGCACACAAGGAAAGAAGAGGCCTGGGAGAGCTGGAGCAGCACTGGACTGCCTGTGTCCAGGCACACCCCTGCAGGGTACCCCCGGGCAACCAGCCCCGTCTGCGCCAGTATCCCACCATGGAGCTCAGCTCAGCTGCAAGGCACTGGGCTGGTGTCGTCCCACTTTGTGCTGGGGACTGAATCCAAAAAATCCTTAAATAGGTGATTGCAGGAGAGCAGACACAGCCTGTATCATGGAGCCATTTAAGGCAGGAGACTGTCTCTGGACATGGAAAAACTCAGCAGCTGGAATTGTGCCAACCTCCCCCCTGAAAAACATTCCTGCGGAGGGAGGGTTCAGCTCCAGGGTCAGAGGGGGAGGCTGGGGGATCTCTTGGCAGAGAAACAAAGCCAGAGCCATAACTGTACTATGTCACCCCTGTGGAGTGACAGGGGAGGGATGCAGGGGAAGAGCCCTACCCGAGGGACAGGATGAGGTGCAGGATCCATGTGCATCCTCACAGTCCCAGGCAAGCTCAAACCTGTAGCAGACTGTGCTGTTTAGTTATTTTGAAGCCTATTTCTGTGGCACAAGTGATGGTCCCACCCCACAGGGAATCAGACACACCTGGAGGCAGCCCCAAGCTGGCAGTGGGGGCGCAGTGCCCAGGATACTTTGATATTCGAATATCTCCAGTGGAGGTCTAGATCAGCCCCAGCTATTTCAGTCCCAGCCTGTCACCTTTTCCAGCCTTCCTTCCAAAAAGCTTTAGCAGTGTATTCAAACATTCAGAGCCCAGCAGACACTAAACAAATCCCCAGTGGGGTCCTTTTGCAAAGGGCAGGGGACAGCCAAGCCAACGGGTCCTCAGCATACCCAAAGCTTGTAGTGCCATGGCATCCAGCTCCTCATTCCTGCATTTCAGCAGAGGGGCTCAAAGCACTCACCATCTTACAGCCTCTCCAGAGGCCAGTGGCACTTGAGAACACATAATCATGAGGTGAGGGAGGTGTTTTGGCATGGAACCCAGAGGGGGAATTAAGACGCTCACAAACAGCTTTTGCATCCTTGACCTTAGCTACTACTTGTCCCTGCCAAGAGAGCTCCACTGGCCACATAGCCCCAGGAGGGCTGAGAGATGACCTGAGCAATGACTCCACAGCACATGTTCCCCTCTGTCCAGCAGGGACTGACAGTGACGTGGCAGGTCCCGTGGTGGGTCCTGCCTGTTTTGCAGGCAGAGGAGTCATTCATCTGCAGGCAAAGTCTGGGCCACCTGGGCAGGGCTCAGCTGCCCTTTGGACTGTGGGCGGTGCAGTCACACGTGGCTGAGCACACACTGTCCCTCCCAGGGGACACAGGGCCGGCACAGCAGTGGCAGCTGCTCCTCCTCAGAGCACATTTGGGTCCCCCAGGCACCAAATGGGCTCTGGGCCCTGTGGGTCTTGGCACTGGGTCAGCACTGCCAAGGGTGCAGAGCCAGTGCCAGGGTGACCCCCTTATCCAGTGTCTGAGCATCCCATGGGGAACTACAGCTGCTGCTGTGGCAGCTCCTGGAGGGTTTTGCTTTGCTGCCACCATGGCTGGCATCGCCCAGCATGGCTCAGGGGTGCTGCCAGTCACCAACCAGAGCAGGTTCCCACCCCTCCCTGATTCCAAGGGGGACTTTGGTGGCCCACAGCAGAGACTTCAAGGGACACAAGGAGTACCCCTCACCTATATTCTTTCTCCCCCTTCCACTGGGGCTTCCAGATGGACCTGACCACATGGAAGCAGCCTTGTGCCCCAGCCCAGCCTGCTCTTCCTGGTCCCCAAAGCATCACAGATATGCAGAAGACCCCAGGGCCAAATCACACCAAACCTGTCACCACTCCCAGCGAGAGCACAGCACTGCCAGTGCCCATGGGTGTCCCTCCTTCGTAGTGGCTGTGGCACTTCCCAGGGGACCAGGAGTGGCATACTGCCCTCCCACATTTCCTCATGTGTCCTAGCTTTACTCCATGACTTTAGGAGAAGGACATTTTGTTAAAATCTCAAGTTCCCAGGCCCTGGGCATCAAGGCAATGCCAGCAATCACAGGAGCTGGCAGAACTCCCTGTCCCTGTGGGCACCCACTCGTGCATATGGAGGCACGCACAGCTCTGTGCAAAGGATGGGGCTAAGGGCTTTTAGGTAGGGCAGCTAAAACTTAGTCCAGCTCCATCCTGTCCTGGAAGCTGCTGGCATCACCCTCAGCATGGAGTACCTGCACAGGGTGAGCAGCTGCTCCTACCCTGTGGAGGAAGTACAGGGATATGGGGCTGGGAGGTGGCACGTTTTAGATGTCACTGTGCTGTGGCTCAGTCTGAGGCCCTCCCGAAAGGCACACCAGGAGTGTGGGGGTTACCTGCTGCTCTGCACGTATCTGGATGAGGTGGGATCCTGTTTGGAGAATCCCCTGTGGCAGGCACTGGGGTGAAAACAACCTTCAGCTCTTTCGCCTGCTCCCACCGTGACAGGACAGCCACAAACGCCCCTTCCCGAAGCACAAACAGGGCAGTGTTTGGGGCTGCTTTACCCTGGGCTGAGGCCTCTCAGTTGAGGCCAAAGTAAGCAGTTCCTCAGCAGCAAGCACCTCTCCGGGGCTGGGAAGGCTCTGACCTGAGCACAAACAAACACAGAGTTAGGGAAAACACTTCTGGCCTCTGTGAAACCTCCCTGCATCCCTTATCATACCCCTGTCCCCTTGCTACACACTAGCTCAGCCCCTTTGGCTCGGGAATGGGCAGTGCAGGAGATGGATGTCCTTGTAGAGCTGCATCTCTCCAGCCCTGCTCAGCCACGACTTCTCCCTTCCCACGTCCTGCTCCACTCTCGAGGGTGCCGGCAGGCTCCGGGAGCAGGACAAGACTGAGCTGTGAGCAGGCGGGAGCTTCAGGGAAGGGCACCGTGTGCTCATACCATCACACCCAGACTCCCGACCTGGCTGCCGTGGAGTCTGGTTGGGCCAGAAAAGCAGGTGCCTCGCTGGGCTGGAACGGGGAGCGGGGCTTGCAGCACAGGCTGGGGTCACGTATCCAGCAGCAAGGCTGGACAGGCAGGGGGATGTCCAAGCACACAGAGGACCCGGCCAAATACCATCGACCGGCTGTGCCCTTCTCCGTGGCCGCTTGGGGCTGCAGCACGTTGGGGCTGCAAGAGGAGAGCCCTTCGCCATGGTGTGGGACCACGGCAGGAGCATCCCTCCTTCCCGCCGGGCCGTTTTGGGGTGGGCAGGCAGGAGCGAGGCAGCGCCCAGCACCCCCGGCAGCAGCCTGCGTGTGGGACACGGGCCGCGGCACTCGGGATGGGCAGCTCCCAGCACGGAGCTGGGGTGACCCGTGATCCCGCCCGCAGCCGGCTGCGGGGAGCAGCAGCTCGCTGGGCGCGGGAGCGCAGCGCGGGGCGGGGGTTCCCGGCGGGGGTGTGACAGTGCCCGCACTGCCGGACCCGGGCCCGCCCGGCCCGTCCCACGTCCCGCGGCTCCGGCCGGCAGGGGCGGCCGCGCGCCCGGCGGCCCCTGCGCGGCGCCGGCAGCGGCGGGGGCGGCGCGGCCCGAGCGGGGCCCGAGCGGGCCGTGTGTCTGCGGGGCCGTGTGTGCGGGGCCCCCCGCCCGTCCCGGGGCCATGGAGCCGGTCCCCGCGCGGCGGTGGCAGAAGGTATTGTACGAGCGACAGCCCTTCCCCGATAACTACGTGGACCAGCGGTTCCTGGAGGAGCTGCGGAAGAACGTGCACGCCCGGCAGTACCGCTACTGGGCCGTCGTCTTCCAGTCGGGAGCGGTGGTGCAGCAGCTGTGCAGCGTCTGCGTCTTCGTGCTCACCTGGTGGTACATGGACGCCGGGATGCTGAGCCCGCAGGGGCTCTTTGGGGCGGCCCTGGTGTCCTCGCTGCTCGGCTACGTCCTGTTCGACGCCGTGGACGGCGGGGCTGGGCGGTGGGAGAGCGGGCGGACGCGCTGGGCTGACCTCAAGAGCACGCTGGTGTTCGCCGCCTTCACCTACGGCTTCTCGCCCGTGCTGAAGACACTGACCGAGTCCATCAGCACGGACACCATCTACGCCATGTCGGCCCTCATGCTCCTGGGCCACCTCATCTTCTTCGACTATGGCGCCAACGCTGCCATCGTGTCCAGCACGCTGTCCCTCAACATGGCCATCTTCGCCTCGGTGTGCCTGGCCTCGCGCCTTCCCCGCGCCCTCCACGCCTTCGTCATGGTCACCTTTGCCATGCAGATCTTTGCCCTCTGGCCCATGCTGCAGAAGAAGCTGAAGGCCCGGACGCCCCAGTGCTACGTGGGGGTGACGGTGCTGTTCGCACTGGCGGCGCTGGCAGGACTGGCCACCATCTCCAGCGTGGGTGCCGTGCTCTTTGCCTCACTGCTGCTCACCATCTCCTGCCTCTGCCCCTACTGCCTCATCCGCCTCCAGCTGCTCAAGGACAACATCCACGGGCCGTGGGATGAGGCTGAAATCAAGGAGGACCTCTCCAGGTTCCTCATGTAGGCCTGGCCTGGAGGGACCCTCTGCTGTGAGCAGTACAAAGGTCCTTGCTGGGGGACAGCCATGGGCAGGAGAACATCTGACCCAATAAAGCCTCTCACACAGCAGCAAGGACCATGTTTATGTTCCCTTCAGCATCTGTTTCCAAACCTGACTTGCTTGGGTTTGGTGAGGAAAGGAGCTGAGCCCCGCAGAGCAGCTGGTCCCTGCAGCAGTTTGGGGTGCAGACGAGCAGGGTGGTGTCTGCTCTGGTCATGCAGACCCATACCTGAATTTGGGGGGGGGGGGGGGGGCGGGGAACAGAGGGATGTGCATCCCCTGAGCAGAAACACCACTTGGAAATGCACATCTGGCCCAGATGGGCCCCACGGGCCCTCAGTGTGTGCACTGCAGACTGACAGCACTTCCCCAGGGGGCTGGAGGGGAAGGGGCTGGTGAGAGTCACTGCGGGCAGGGTGGAGGTGCGGGGTGGTGGGTGCTGAGGGACCTGCAGGACTGAGCACAAGGGCACCTGGGATGGGTGTGGTGCACAGCCCTGCTCACCTGCACCCCGACAGTCACTGCTGCCAGAATAGCCTCATGACACTGCCAGATACCACACTATCCTAAATCCTCTGGGAGAGAAGGGGATGAGAGGGCATGATGCCTTCCTCTCCTCTTTTTTCAGAGGCTAATGAGGCCTCGCTGCAGGGCCAAACCCTGATCCAGAGGGATGCAGCTCAGCACAGCCCCTCATGGGTGCAACCCCAGCTGGTGAGATGCTCACGCTGCTGGGACAGCGGGGGAGGTCTATCAAGATCTCATCTGGCACCGTCTGTCAGGTGTCCGTCTGTCCGTCACCGCTCACACCGCAACAGAGGGCGCTCCTGGCAAACAAGTCTCACTGGAGGCCAGGCCGGGACAGCCGGACCCCGTGCCGGGAGGGCCTCCCTGGCACTTTCGCTTTCCCTGCTCCCATCCGGCACCTTCCCTCGGCAGCCCCAGCCCTGCTCCGGCCACCCAGGGGAGCAAACCCCTCCTGAGCCAGCACTGCCAGAGGGAAGGGATGCCCATACTCTGCCCCAGCCTCATTGCACAGGGATACGTTTGGTATCACCCGGGTTTTTACGAAATTCTTCTCTTTTGGAAACCCAGCACTGCAGAAGTGCAACTTTCTGCTCGATTTACCCAGCCCTGCGAGCACCAGGGTCTCATCCTATGGAGCAGGCGCTTGCCGCGTTCCTTGGGTTTTCTCAGAAATGAGCAAAACCCGGCGGAGTCCCCAACACCTCCAGTGCTTTGTTACAGCTCTTGCCAAGTGTTAAATGTTGCTGTGGTCGTCATGGTGACAACTACATCTCATTTTAGTTTTAATTAAAACCTGCAGCAGTTTGGAGCCCGTGCTGCGGTCTCACAGGGAACACAGAGTAGCCAGATGTCAGAGTCAAGGTGACATTTTTTAGGTCTTTGGAAAGGAGACTGTTTTTTTTTCACGGGGAGGTTTCCCAGATTGCTGCTCAGTGACCAGGATGCCCCATTTGACCCCGGGCTAATGCCAGTGTAATGCTGCCATCCAAAGCTGATTCACAGAGCCCACTGATAGGACACAGCTCGAGTGTAAATCAAAACTCAAATCTCACCTGCCTGGCCCCTGTCTATCACTGCAGAGGCTACAAGAAAGCAGAGTTTCTGCTGCACCCATTCCCATAAGAAGAAATATTTCCTCAAAAATACTTTTCCCAAATTCACATTCTAAAACCAGCTCCGGGTTAGGAAAAGCAAATCTTGACCACCCAGACGTTGCAGGTGGAGATGGGCACAGGCTGCCATCACCTCAGCCAGAGCAGGAACCCAGTGGATCACCTGTGCAAATCCCTGGGCTTTGACTGATGTAGCAGGCCCCATCCACCCAGCTCTAGGTGGATGCAGGCTGTGTCCCATCTAGCCCAGCCCACCACAGACAGATTCATCCCTGCCCACAGCCACAGGCCTCTCTGCTCTGCCCAGCTCCTTCCCTTCATCTCCTCCTTACAATCAGTCACAGAATTCTCGGATTAGACTAGCAGAGCCTCAGTGCTCGCCCAGAGATCGGCAGGGAAAGGCTTAGCCCTCCCCCTTGCTTGCCCACACAGATACCCTGCTCTCCCTAAGCTGGGGGATGAAAATATAAATCCAGTCCATGGCCTGGATGCACAGAGGGACACTGAAAGAGGAAAAAATGCAAGAGAGCCAGGGAGAGGAGAGGAGGAGACACAGAGGCCAGGCAGGGTTTCCCTGGGACTTCCCTGACCTTCTCCTGAGGACACATGCTCTGCAGTACTGCTTAAGTTATTTAAGCTGCTGCATAAATGGCCATTATGGGTTTGTCTACATGCCTGAGGTCACAGTATTCTCTACACAACAAAATTTTGCCATAACTCTACACCCATCCAGTAAGGCTGGATGCCCTTTGGGCATTTGCTACCTGAGCAAAGCGTTCTCTGACAAAGCCCACACTGAGACCAAAAACATAGGTCCTCAGTTCATGATGCAACCAATGCATGGTAAAGAGTTAAATGTTGTTTTGCATTAGAAGGAAGTTTCTTTCCCTTCAGTTTCTGAGTCCACTGAGATCAGTCCTTCAGTGGGACATTGCATTTGCTTTGAAGCTGGCCAAATGTGTGTAACTGAAGTGGCTGGGGATAAGCCTCGCTCCTGGGGGAGCCACTGACACGTGCAGCCTGGAATCCTCATCTACAGCCTCTGCTGCAGGGAAAGACAAGTGTCAGCCACCCACACCGTGCTGTCAGGGGGCCATGTCCCTCCCCATGTGGGAGACTGGATCTGAGAAGCCTGGAAAGAGCAAAACTTTAGTCTTTGAAGGTAAGATCCTTGTATCTCTTCAATTCCCACAGCAATCACTCAGTTGTTTTCAACTTTGTGATGTGAGAGGCAACAGCAACAACATGAATCATCAGGAAACCAAAACAGGATTCTGGTCCTAACCCACTGTGGTGGTTTGGGCTAGGCCTTCCTTGGTGACTAGTTTGTAACCAAGGAAGGGTCCAGATTTACCCAGTATTCCCTACGATTTTTATGTAAGCTGGGCTATAAGAAGAAAGGAGGAGAGGCCTTTGCTCTCTTTCCTTCCGGCGGCTTGGAGGTGCAGGTTCCCTGCTGTTGAGTCTGCCGTGTTGGGGAGCGAGGCCTGGTTGGGCCTTGTCAACCTTGGGAGACAGAGGTTGCCGGCGATCGTTCCGGAGTGACCCTCGGTTGTCCCAGGAGAGTAGTGAGCTATTTCTTTACTAACTCTTTTAGTGGATAGATATTGGGCTGCTAATTGGGATATTTATATATATAATATTTTGGTTTTGTTCCTTTTCCCTTCCCCCTTCCCTTTCCCTTATTTTTTTAATTGTATATAAGTGTAAATATATTTATATATCTCACTTTGGTTGTCTCTCTCTCGTTTCGGGTTTTCTTTCGTTTTTTTCTCCCTCTTTTCCCTGAGGTTTGAGGGGGGGGGAGGAACTCTGGTGGTAAGGTTTGGAGACT